CATCTTGGATACAACTTTTGTTTTTTCAATAGGAGAGGGCCATGTGACACATCAAACATATTGGTAATGTCACAAGAAAAACAATGGTGTGCTTGGTTTCAACGTAACTTTATTCTTTCATGAGTTATTTACAAGTTTCATATATATATATATATATATATGGAGAGAGAGAGAAATGAGGGATGGTTTAAGGTTGTTGCACAGTAGTGTATTTCCAGTTGCAGGTTATCATACCCTTGTAGATTAGCTCATCTACTGTATAGCATTTCACTACAGATCACACTACGATTTCTCCTACTCTGCACTCAGTCTAACCGAGTTCTGGCTACACTGCAGCAGTACTATCATGTTTTTCATACTCACCTGACAAGGCTTAACTGTTTTAATATTATAAGTGAAACATACAATTTCGCTGCAAAGAAAAATGTGTGACTCTATCTATCAGAATCAGGCAGCCATACTTCCTAGGTCTCAAAGAAATGCATGAATCTGAGGTTTCCCTTATAATACTCAACATGTAATATAGTTAATGCTTGTGACAGTTGAACTTGTTAGCTTTGCTATTTTCATATCATTCTGTGGCATTAAACTTAGCTACTCTTAGCTTGACAAATGTTACTAGCACCATTTGTCATTTCAGGCAAAAAACAACAGCGGTTGCTAGCTAAAATTGAGAAAGGTAAATCGTGTGCTAGTTGTTCAAGCTATCAGCCACCATTATTATTGTTAAACAGATGCATTGCTTGAATGGAAAGGCACCAAGAGCTATGAAGAGATGGGGGTGGAGAACTCAGTTCAAATAACTATTAACTTTAATGTCTGAGGGTGGAATAACCATTACTTTTCTATAGGCAGTCAACGGAGTCTCCAACAAGAGCCCTTACCCCGCCCAACAACTGTCAATCAACATTACAACCAATCAGGCTGGTAAGTTGGGAGAGAAATGACTCTTTGCGTGTGTGTGTGTGTAAGCATCTGTGTGTGTGCTAGCATACCCCGGGGCACCGTGGATTATGTGAGGGAGGGATGGCCGGGGAGATAAAGGAAATTGAGCTACAGCCTTTTAATTCATAAAACATGTTATGTGCTTGTCATCGCTCTGCCTGTTCTCGCTCTCCTTCCCCCTTCTCTCTCTTTCTTTCCTTTCTTTCTCTCTCAATTCTGCTTTTCTCAGCTTTCTCCCCCCTTTCCCTGCTTTCCTCACCCTAGGTCTCCCTCAGTATAATTCTTAGAGGCCATAAAGTGAGTGAGTTATTACTCCATCAATACTTTATGGAGACAGACACAAGTGATATTTCCACTGCTACCCAAATTTAGATTTAAAAGCCGCTTTGCTATGGAAAAACACATCATTTACCTCATCTACAGCACCCCTGGCTCATTCCTAATCGAAACATGATCCATTGTCACCCTGCCGTTTTCTGAGCGCATTTGTTACCGCTGTCGGATGCGAGGCTTTCTTATCCCTGAAATCTTTTAGGACTCAACAAAAACTGATTTATTTTTCAGGTTGACTGCACTGGGGGAGATTTTTAAATTATGCAATAGCTTTTGAGTGTATTTCATTTGACTTTAGGATGTAAAACTCAACACTGTGTATGTGTGTGTGTGTGTGTGTGGGGGAGGGTGGGCTCAATTGTGGCTATGTGAGGAAAAAAAAAGACTGTGGGGTTTTCAGGTGACAGATCGCTCATGCTGTCAAATTATTTCTCCAGCAGAAGTATACAGCTCTTGAGGCATCACAGCATTTACTGTGCGTTATAGCTGCTCTATGAAATTATGGTGACTCAGCTGTGTAAGATGCATACAGTCTATTTAGGATATAATGGCTTTTAGCAGAATCCCCATAAAACCAAGAAGACAAATTCTCTTGGGGTTTTTTGTCCTTTAAAACAGTAATTTAATTAAATTTAAAACAGTGTTGTACATCTCCAGATGCTGTGTGATATTAGTCTTCTTCTCGCCTCATGTTTCCACTGTAGACTATCAAAGCACAAAAGTGATGAAAGCTATCACATAAAACGATCCAGAAGCTGAACCATGAAATACATTACAGCCAACAGCTTCTCGTTCCTAAAATTATGGGTTAAAAATGCATCGCAGACATAGCTCTTGTTTCCCCATCAGTGACAAGTGCAGTAATTTGTTTTCATGAGCTTGGAAGGGGAAACATTTTTCTCCATTGAGTGCAAATAATCTTTGGCAATATGTCATTAAACTCTGTATTTCCATATTTATGGTGTTTAAACATGCTAGCAAGTCTTTTAACTGCCTAATTGATTGTGTATTCTTGTGTGCGTATGTATGTGTGTGCGCTTTTTATCAGCTCCCTCAGTAGTTCCCATAATGCACCAAGTGAGCTCAACAAGTCGCAGTTTCTCGTTGTCATGGCCACCGCCCGAACAGCCCAATGGAATTATCCTCGACTACGAGATACGATACTATGACAAGGTAGGTGGGATGATAAATGTCTGTGTTTGTCTCTGTGTCTGTGCTTTTTGGTGCTATAGTCGCTGGCAGTAACTCATTAGTCAATAAAGCAGGCAAATCAATATCAACTTCATCAGAGTCATCCATTATCAGGACTGCTACTGAAGACCAGCAGGATTCTCACTTCTGCACAAACACCTCAGCCATTAAGAACTTGAATAAAAGTAACACCAACCTTTTTGGTAAAACTACACGTATAGTTCTGTGCAAAAAATTATGAGCCACTACTGCGTACTTTATATTTTGCTTCCAAGAAACCCAAAAGTTCTTGTAATTTTTAAAAATGGTCCTCAGATGCTTTCTTTTTTCTCTGAACACTGTTTTTTCACTCATTTTTAGTCCAGTCCTTATACCTGACCATTTTTAGAGAAATGAATAGCACCTAATTAAAGGCATTAACCAGTGTTGTGTCTACACATAACAGACAACTTATCAAAAAAACCATTTTTAATTTTATCTTTAGGCACTGTGTTACCAGCAACCTGTCACAAAACAGACACTTTGATAGGCATAAAATAATATTTTTGTACTAACAAGGTGATTGTCAAAGAGATATTAGCTAAAAACTTGGCATGTGACAACACGTGTGCAGTGTGTCGTTGAAACATTTGAGGAAACTGGACAAACAGAAGACAGAAGGAGTGTCAGATCTTAAGAAACAGGAAAAAGTCCAGTAAAGATCTAATCAGAGAAATGCTTCTTCCTCTTCAGCTGATCCATTAGCAGTTCACTGAAGCCTCATCAGAAATGGTCTCGGTGGAAGAGTGGCTTTCAATTATCCAAAATTGAGGATGCTGCCATCTGTAAGACATGAGCTGTGTCTTAGGCTACGTTCACACTGCAGGCGAAAGCGCACCAAATCCGGTTTTTTTTGACCCTATGCGACCCATATCCGATCATGGTATGACAGTGTGAACGGCACAAATCCGATATTTTCAAATCCGATCTGGGTCACTTTCGTATGTGGTACTGAATCCGATACATATCCGATGTTTTAGATGTTTCCTAGCAAAATATAGACTTACACACAGCACTGCACTTTCTGCTTTTTTACTAGGGGCTCTTAATGGTTTCACATATGTTACAGTGTCCGCTGTCACTAATAGTGTTCTATTGTTTGCTGGGTGTGAGATCATTTCCTAGATTTATCTTTCTCAGCTCACTGTGGTGATGTAGAGTTCAAGTTCCCATCTTCATCAACAATTAAGCATTCATTATAAACACACATCAGGAGCTCACAGAAGTGTTGTTGCTAGGTAGATATCGTATGTGCTACCTTATGTTTCCAGATTCAGTCCCTTGGAAAACACAAAAAACAGCAAACAAAAAACAAAAAAAAACATGTTACTGAAAGAAATTAGATGTGTTTAATATTAATAAGGAGGAGAGGCTGATAGCAATCTTAAAATATTCATCAAAAAAAGAATAGTTGGGTACTACATCATCAATATAAAAATCCCAGACTATCCAGGAGTTTAAGAAAATAAGGGGGTAGGATAACTCCAGGCAGCGGAGGGAAGAGAACCAGTTTTTAAAATTTAATAATTGAATTTTTTTCATCCATCAAAGAGAAGCTTCAAACGTGTATTGGGTATGGCGATAATTTATACGGGCATGATGTTATGTTTTTAATACTTGACAGAAGACTACGGGCTGTCGGGTAGTTTCATAGACTCCTTGAGAACATCCATCCATGTTCCCCTATCCTCCAAATACGCAAAAACAGCAGCAGACACGGTGACAAATGTTTCTGAACGTGTCTGTTCTCCATCATATCGTTCAAGAAATAATAATCACTCAGTACTGCCGTTTTTGTAATACCGTTGTTATTAAATATTTCTTGTCATTTAGTATGAAAACTACAGCTTGATAAAAATCATCATCACTGGGTTTGGTGGCTGATCAACATGGCAATTATTTCAGGACAGCTGAAGGCAGAAACCTGTCAGCATATTTCTACAATTTATAGCTCTTATAAATGATGTATTTTTGTCTCGCACTCGTGCTGAATGCCTATTCATGTATCATCTTTTATGCAATATTATTTCCTAATAAGTCAGGATTGATCTTAGAGCTACGATGCATATTTAATGGGGCCTGCAGCCATACTGACAGGGTTTTACAGTGATGTAGAGCCTTTCTTTTTTCAACCACACATAAATTGTTGATCGTATTTGTGCAGGAAGGATGAGTGTCCATTCATTAACAACTGGCTTTAAAAAGCTGTTTTCAGACAATGAGGCCTCACTCCAACTCAGCGTTTCACTGAATCGAACACGAACAAAGGGAGTAGTTTGGGCTGCTGCAGCTTTGTTATCGGTAACATGCAATATAAGATCAAATTAGGATTTGTGAAGATGAAAATTAAATCAACCATTAGGCTAATCAGAAACAGTAAGAGCTCATGCTGATCTTGGGAGTCTCAAGCAGCTAATTCTTTAGTCTTTACTGAAAACTTTAGAAGACAAATGGACAGTAATTTAGACAAATTTCCCCAAAACCTTTCCAGCTATTCCGATCCTAGCTGAAATATTAAATATTTAGGTAGCCACACAAGACGACGATATCTTTTGTTGCTGTTTTACAGGAAAATATTCATTGGCAGTCATGTATACAGCTCTGATGCATTTATTCAATTTACTGCTCATGTTGTTTTGTCTGTTCCAAAGTCTGCGAGGCGGGATATCATAGTGTTTGTAGACTGCAGCCGCTAATATTTCTCTATTGTTTGCTGAGTAAGATGGTGTCCTAGATTCATCCCCTCAGCATTCTCTGTTGCTGTGGGCTTCAGGTCTCTCCGTGGACCTCAGTACATGCCCGAAGTCAGCACAGAGCACTGATATTACATAGTTACCTTTATCTTAAAAGGGCAAAGCCTTTCACCCCAGAGAGATAGAGTCTACCACAGAAAAGAGAACAAGAAGCGTCCGTTCTTCCAGGCCAGAGTGTTGAGGATTTCTGTTCCAGGCAGGCAAGGCTGAAGGAAAATGATCGATATTCAAAATGATCCTTTGTAGCTTTCTTTTACTCCTATTGTTCCTGTTTCGCAAAGGCCAGAAATGTGCTCGGAGAGAAGAACCACTTGTGTCCGTTAGCTGAACTCTTTGGAAGTTTTCTTTATTCTTCCCTACCCTGACCCTCTGAGTTATACTGAGAATAAAAGGAAACTCCTAGTCTCAGTACTTGATCTCCTGCACAAGAGGGATGCCCACATTCTCCATCTATCATTTCTTTAGGCCAGGTCAAGTTAGTCCAGACATTCTTCTCCTTAGCAATGTCTCCTAGCACATCCTGAGGGATCCAGAGGCATTCCAGTACCACATCAGATATACATAAAATCCTTTCACAAAGTCAGAGTCTACCCTAGGGTCTTCTACATGATGCACATGCCCTGAACATCTCCAAAGGGAGGCACCCTGAAGTCAACCTTATGAAATGCCTGAACCACTTTAGCTTTTTAGATATAAAGGAGCACCAGCTCTATTCTGTTCTCCCTCAGGATTGATTGAACTATTTCTAAAGTTTAAGCTCAACCACCCTATAGAAGAAATTATTTTTAGTTGGTTATAACTGTATTTTTTTTCTGGAATAAAGTTTATTATTGTGAGTAATTTTTCAGATAAAAGCAACCAGAAACCTGCTTCTCCTTTTAGGAATATGAAGGTTGTTGTGGTGGAGGGGTTATTAATCCAAAGGAGGTGAACAAAACAAGGTCATTGCTGCCACCTGTAACAAAACCTTGGAGGGGAACCTCCACAACCAAAGTAGTGCTTTGGCATAGGGCTTGGCTGTAGAGTCCAGAAGAGCAGGAGACTCACCAGTGCCTATCTCACCACTGTAGAGACATGTCCTGGAGTTGGATTCATTTTTAGGATTTGGACCTTGCCATGCTGATCATGTGAACTTCCATGTATATATATACTGCTTCACAAAAAGGAAAACCTTTTTAAAAAACCCAAAACAGGAATGGTTTTAAAGGTGGAGGCCACTGACATTTTTTCTCTCCCCGTCTTTTCTGACAATCTTTTGCACTAGTTTGGTTAGGGTCAGTCACCGGTGGCATGAGGTGACACCTGGACCCCACAGAGGTTCCAAAGGTAGTTCAATTCCTCTAGGATTGGACATCAATACATGGCATCGCCAAGAGGTTTGCTCTGTCTCTCAACACAGTCTCAAGAGCATGGAGGAGATTCCAGGACACAGACAGCTACTCCAGGAGAAATGGACAGGACTGTAATAGATTCTTAACCCATCAGTAGGGCCGATATCTGCTCCTTTGTGCAAGGAGGAACAGGATGAGCACTGCCAGAGCTACAAAATAAACCTCCAGCAGGACACTGGTGTGAATGTCTCTGACCAAATATCAGAAACAAACTACATGAGGCTAGCCTGATGTCCTCTAGTGGGCTCTGTGCTCACTGCCCGACACTGTGGCGTTTGCCAGAACACCAGAATATGCCTTTGACAGATAAGAGCCGGTTTACCCTGAGCACATGTGACAGACGTGAAGGGGTCTGGAGAACAAATGAAGACCGTTCGCTCAGCATGACAGGTTTGGCGGTGAGTCAGTGATTGTGGGGTGAGGCATATCCACAGAGGGGCGCAGAGACCTCTACAGGATCGGCAACAATACACTGGCACACTGTGAAATCCACTGTCAGACCCTACACTGGTGCAGTGGGTCCTGGTTTCCTCCTGTTGCACAATAATGCCTGACCTCATGTGGCAGAAGTTTGCAGACAGTTTGTGGAAGATAAAGGAGTTCATACTGACCGACTCCCATGCTCGCCTGACCTAAATCCAATAGGACACGTCTGGACACGTCTGGGACGTTATGTTTCAGTTCATCAGACACTGCCAGGTTGCACTACAGACTGTCCAGGACCTCAGTGATGCCCTGGTCCAGATCTAGGAGGAGATGCCCCAGGACACCATCTGTGGTCTCATTAGGAGCATGCCCC